TGCTCGATCAGGGTCAGTGAGTCAACAAGCTCAACCTCGATTGCGATCAATTGTATCTGTAAACCTTCTCTGTGCTCACGGCAAGCTTGTCAGTACACAACTGTCAGTCTCTATGAAGAATTTCCAAACTCTAGCCTTTTGTCCTTTGTGACGTGTTTTGTTGTTTCGCGCGCGCTTAAAAATATTTAAGTGCGCGTGCTAAATACGGTTATATTTAAAGCTTTTGCCCAAGATCTTAAACATTAGTAAAATTTTGTGGCATAAAGAAATATAAAAAATAAAATAAGGAACTATACGGTAAATTGAAAAAATATTTCATCTGAAACCTCGATCTTTGCACAAATTTATGAGCTTGATAGAATCTTAAACTCTTCCCATTTTGAATATAATATCAATTTTTGAAAAATGGGCCTATTTGAAAAAAAACTTATCTGTAAAAGATAAACGGGTTGCGACACGATGATCAAATGGAAGATCTTTCATAATAACTATTGTGAATTTCGTATCGTAGACTCTTCAAATATTAATCCTAAGCCATCGAAAACCCGAAGTAGCTTCAATAATAACTGTCAAATTATTTGAAGCATTATAAAAACATGTTGCTTCACATATCGCTATTGAAATCACTGCAAGACAAAGGAAGCGAAAAGGAGAAACAACGTGACTTATCAGTTTTTATAACATAACTAAGACATAAAGCGCACTCTGATTGGTCAAAAAAAAATTTTATATTTGCCAGTAGAACAATAGAAAACTGTAACATCTTGTTATTTTTTAGCGCCACATGAGGTACATTCCCAGATTTTAATCTGTTGAAGGCCTGTGGTCTGGAGGAAACGTAGAAGACACTTTGAACAGAAAAACAATGACAAAGATTTTATTTTCTAACATTATCAAATTTAACATAAAAATGCAGTTTAACTAATGGCTGCTCTAACTGTTTTAAGCCTAAGTAGTTTTCACTTTGGGGTTAGTGTGAAAGACCTTCAGAAATTTTTGAGTGGAATTTCCCAGACTGCTCTCTAAAAGTGAAAAGTTGGCATGTTTTTGTGTCAAGAAAATCCTGTTAATAATAATAATAATAATTAACAATAATAATTAATAATCAATAACTAATAATTAACTGAATGTCCATTTTGATATTTATTGAAAATTCTATTTACATTAGAAAGCTGAGGCAATTGAAACAAATCTGGTTGAAGGCAAATAGTGAACTGCAAGTAACCATGGTAGCTGGACGATGTTTGAACCAGTGCTATAGGTTGAAGTTGTTGTCTTTCTATATACCACTTTTGTTGTGATGCACCCTAATAATGTTGTTAAAGAATTCAAAGTTAAGTTCTCACAATAAAAATAAATTTTACCAGTGAAAATATTACAACTGACCTTTATTTTGCCTAAAAAACTTCTTGGCCCAGCTTTATAGAGAGAGGGGACATGGCTATCCAACAGATAAATCACTATCCAGCAGACAAGTGATTGTGAAACATACTCTGTTGTCCACCGGCTAGAGATTTGTCCAATTAATTATGTTATCCAACCTTTGAACAACCATGGCCTGGAAAATATTTAAACTTCTCCCTAGGTATGCAAACTTTAAAAACTTAAAAACTCAAACCTATGCAAATCTGAAAGCTACAAAACCCACACTAGCTTCCTGTTCAACAAAACCTTCACTAGCAAGATTGCTAGTAAGAATTGGTATAACAAGAATAAGAGTGGCAACTGGAACTACAGGAAGTAAAAGTCATGTAGTGAAAAGTTGAGAGTGACAATGAACAAGTGATCATTTATTCTAGAACAAATAGGTTGCAAATCTTCACTTATCACTTAACCAGGTTTTGATGCCAAGATGAGTTTGCAGAAAGGTTTAAAATGTTCTCTTTGTGGAAATTACTGTGGTCCACTGTGCATTACTTTCCTGTAAATCTCACGATAAAAGAGTAAGTGACACAAAAAGTATTCAAAACCTCGCTGATTGATCATGGTTAGGTGGAAATAAAGTAGAAACTTTCAAAAGTCAAGAAGACTCTCAAATGATAATATTGTCAAACTAAAAGTAAATAACAAGTTGCCAAACTCTCTCCAAACACTGAATTTCAATAAGGCACTACTAAATATCAGTGCTGACTATTGCAAAGGCAGTAGAGCATATAATCTATTATTGACATACAGATTAAAAAGTTAAAAATTATGTGGCTGACATACACTCAAAAGTTAGCAAAGACTGCATGACCAGTCCAGGCTGCCTCTTTTTTTCACTGTAAAAAAAATCAGAAGAATGCACATCACTGAGGTGTGATTGAAAAAATTTGATGAAGGTTACATCAGCATGCGATGACTCAGAAGTTTTAAGATAAAGAAATAGAGAATAATACATGGGCGTGCGTAGATATGGAATTTCTCTTCGAGTGTTTAACTCGATAGCTCACGAGTGAGATGTCGAATTGAACACGAGAAGAGAAATTCCATATCTACAAGCAACTATGTATTATTTTGTTTATCATATAAACACAATAGCCCTTTACAGACAAGAAAAGCCGACTTCATTGATGAATGAAATAAATGAATCGATAATCCCCAAGTAACAATCGTAGAGTGCGTTGGCGCTAACTCTTAAGATGGAAAAATGCGTTGAATCATGAGTACAAAAACAACGATGGTCGTAATTTTCAATTTACAAAATTCTCATTTATCGACTTTGTCCTTACCTACAGAAGAAGTCTTTCAGGTGAACAGCCAAAATTGGCCATTGGCAAATCTTCCAGTTGTCGATTCTCATTCTCGTTAAGCGTATCTGGGGTTTTTTCGAGGAACTACAGCATCATCAACAGTTATTACACATATCAAATTAGGCGCCCGCTTAGAGAACACAGAAACTACACACTACCTTCTGCGTTCTTTGAAGATTTCGACAAAATATTTATCTCGATAAGGTGTGTAAGAGACATACCTCACTATTCCTGCTTATGTCAAATTCTTGAAGGTTTGCTAAATTTGTGACCTCCGGAGGCAAGCGCGCGACTTCGTTGTCGCTCGAACCCAATCTACGCAGATCATAAAGCGAAAGAACAGCTGCAGAGAAGAAAAAGGGCATGCTCTAAATGCCTTTACTATTCCAATCGATTTCGAGATGCTACCTTATTACCCCCGGAATATATTTGGTTTGAGTAGCATCTACAAACAGCTCTTCCAGAGATCTATCATACTGGTAAACTTTTCTAGGTACGAAGGTAAGGCTACAGTGGCTGAACTAAAGAAAATCTACCAAGCGGTTACAACGCCACGGAGGACAACAGAACATTTCCGAGCCAAGATCAATGAGAAGGTGCCACCAGACCTAACGGATATTTCTTAACATTTAGCGAAGAACACTGCCAGACTTCACACCTGCGGTTTCTCTCGCCCCCATAATGCATCATTACCCGAGTTTGCTGTAGAGGACTGTGGGAAATCATAGAACGAGCTTGATGAGGCGTAATTTGTTTGCCAGATACGATTGATTACTAAAAAATGGACCACGGTCCCTAAATTTTTAGCCTTCTAAATGACTGAGTGGAGCCAAATATACCTAGCTCCGAGAGATTTGGTCAACCGATTCGTCTGCGAAGTGAGAATTTAAATATGCCTAATGCGCAACATATGTTTAACTGGCTGCGTTTCTCTGAGTCTCCTCGAGCACATAGTCCAGAGTTGAAGGAGAATAGTTGCGGAAATGATACTGAGACTCTGGGAAGCGAGACTTGGACGAGAATGAGAGTTAAGATAATCCCCATTACACAGGCCTCTTGTTCAGAATGTTGAGGATTGTGATGTCTTTAAAAGTAAAGAGCTGAGAAGGACGCAGAGTATGATAAGGTATCTTGCTAACGTCTGTGACTGTGCACTTAAAAATGTCTACTTAGAATTCCATCTGTTTTCTATGAACATAACAGCAACACTTTTAAAAAGTAAGCAGTTTAATAATAGGAATTGTTTGCCACATTCACACTTTTATCAGTTTCAGAATAAACATTATTGTTACTTGAATGACCTTGTTTTATGCTTTTATCTATTTTTTTTTTTAACTCCATGCATCTTAAGGAAATAGAAAAAAACCATTGAACATGGTTTGACGTTTGATGACATGGAGGGTTTTACATATTGATTTTTAACCGCGCTATTTGGAAATGTTCGGGCTGAAGGTTTGTTTCTATTTTAAGAATAAAAACAAAATTGGCATTACTTGTTAATTTTTTTGTGTATTTTTTTCGTTTCAAAGTTTCGGCTTTAGCATTTGTTTAGTGCTAACTTGAGAAAGTAGACTTTGAGGTAATGTTTTTGTTTCAGTAGGAATTGGACGTTGTTTCTTTTTTCAATTTTTTTTTTTGTTTCTATCGACAAGAAAGTTTCGGCTTCAGTTTCAAGTGTGAAAGTAGAATTTCTTTTTTTTCCCCGGTCATCAAGTGGCATGATCCTTCTTGGTTCCAAGTTGTAATAGTTTGTAGAAAAAAAAATATCTGTGGAACACCCTGTCCATGTGCTTCCACTCTCAGTTCCTTCTTCGTCGTCGTCTCCGTTTGTAGGGTTCACTTTGTACTTGTACTTCAGTCTATGGCAAAAAATGGCAAGTAAATATTACCCTCATACTCGTACTCGAGTTATTTATCTGATCATATCTGTAATGCTGCAATATAGGCATGGAAAATCTTAACTGTATACAGCAATACTAACTGATTTTCGGATTTGTGGTTTACATTAATTTCATATTTTTCTCAGATTAACAGTTAAGTCACCCCTATTCCTCATCCCTACAAAACTCTATCCACAAACTCTCAACCTTATAAGGAGCTGCTTGAACCACATTTGAGTTTTACTCAAGACATACCTCAGGAACAAATGATTCCCCGTTCCACACTCTTTTGATACGATTCCTGCGCCCTCTGTTTCGCTGAGAAGGCTCAACAGTAACCTGAAACCAAGTAGGTTCGTTTCACTGACCTCACAAATCTTCATCAATGAATGTACAAGTGATCGCTTACATGGTTCAGGGAAAAGATAACTGATGTGATAATTTATCTCACATGTCCTTTTTAATTCAAAATGAAAACAATCGATCAAAATTTTAACAAAATACATTAAATTAGGATATGGGTATACCTCCACGAACAAGGAGCACTAAGTCTACTTCGCTCAAAAGGTATCATGAAGATATTCCATGAATTTCCTTACTTTACTCGTTTCACAACAAAACCAGATGAAACAGAAACTAAGGAAATTGCTAGCTGGGTGTCCATCAAAATGCATTAAGGCTTTGTTAACCTGAGTTTGGATGGTTATATTTTTTGCTGTGGCACCAAGGAGCGCGTGATAAGCGTTTCTGAGGCAGAAATGAGCGTATTCCAAAGCTTCTGGACTTTGGGGATCTGCTCCGATTTCCACTTTAACTCTCGGCTCTAAATTTAAAAAAATGGTAGGAACATTAAGAATACATAGCCATAATAACACTGAATCACATCGATAGATCCTACAAATGTTTCCAAAACATCCGGCGTGGATATGATATTATCGATGTAATTTAAATAAGTCAACACTACGAACCAATCCTGGACACCTCTGTCAACGATGGATACAAAACTGAACATGCTCCGTTGAGATCAGTCAAAAACTTCTTCTTTCTCACCTTCAGCTTGTGGAGACACAACTTGTGGTTCTTTTGTCTCCATGACTAAACATCGAGATTTTTGTAATGGCTCTTCAGACTCTCTCTCAGATGTATCTGGACTTTCCGGAGCGCTACGCTTTCGCTTCCTTGTTTTTCCTATCAGTTGGAAAAAGAAGAGTCAACCCCCAAACCAAATGTCAATATTTTAGAATCATAAAAGTATCGATTCATGGTTGTTGAGAAACGAGTAAAAATGTCAGTCAATAAGAGACTACAAAGAACGTGAGGGCAAATATTTTTCCTTTTAAGAGAGGTTAGATGCCTCTTCTATCATACCTTTAGGTTGTTGAGATATATTTTTCCCTGTGGATGTTTCTGGGTCAGTCGGTTCACCCAGATCCTCTGCAGGTGGATGTTCAATGGTCACTTCTGTTCCTGGAGACTTAGCTTGATGTTCCTCTGTCTCAGTGAACAAACATGGGAATTTTGGCAGCGGCTCATCAGATCTTAAATCGGAACATTCAGGACCACTGCGCTTCAGTTTCCTTTTCTTTCCCTTCTCAAGACTTTTATTAAGGGATGGACTCTCGCTTCTCCTTTCGCACCCCATGGAATTCTTTCTGGCTTCCACCGCACCAGTTCCCAGCGACACTCTTGAGTGACTGAGAGAGTCCCCAGTTGACCCCCGTTCTTTGACTGCAATTGGGGATGCTGATTCAACGGTAACCAAGCCAACAAATCTGGAAGATTTCGTAATGAGTGGATTGGAATCACTCTCCAGGGATACCGCTGTTTGGCAGTCACAAGTTTTCTTTTCTATGGACGTCCCTGCGTTGCAGCTGAAGGATGACATATCGGCAGTATCCAAATCAATCTTTATCGATCCATCCAAAGATGTTGCCGAGGCAACAGGACTCTGTACAGTAAACGATGGAGGATCTCCTATCTCTAAAAGGCTTTTCTAAGATTGAATAAAAAGCAATGAGTCAACTAAGACAAAGCAAATCCCTTAGTGTGCTACCATTGCACTGGTTGATGGACTCTCTCTCAGAAAACTTACCTCAAACATGGATGATTTAGAATCCGATGGATTTCTAGCAACAACCAAGGATGCTGCTGAGACTTGAGTCTTGCTCTTAACAGGTCCTTCAATCTCATCCAGTACCTCTCCATCGCAACTGGTATTACTTAAGGAGTATCCAACTGCCTCTGGCTGTCTATTGGTCCCGTTAGTATCAGTGTGTGACGATCCCTGACAAGTGGTTGAAGCACAAACGTGGGATAAACCTGCATTTAAGAGATAAAAAAATTGACTTTTGCTGACTCTCTATATGCTGTAAGTTTCAATCCAGAAACAGGGGTTAACCAGTTGGAATTTTGTGGATGGAACATGAATTGTAATCCAGCTATTCAACGCTGCTGTGTGCATGCATGCATGCAGAAACGGAAATAAAGTTTCAGGAAATCTTAAGAAGAACAAACTAGGTAATGCACTGACCTTCGTTAATTTCAGTTGGTAATTTGCTCCAGGAAACAATTTCATCAACCTTTGACACAAACGATCTTCCCTAATACACCAAAGAATAATAAGTTTTTTTAATTGTTAATTCTTTGTCAACCTCACAGAGAGATAAAGTTTTTAGTGTGGTTATTTTTCAATTGCTCTCAATAAATCAAGTGCCAGTCTAAGTAAAAAGTGCTTGTGTGCTTTAAACCCGCACCAGGAAAAAACTTTTCTGCGCAAAAGAAGTCTATTTTCAAATATATTTTGACCGACATCTAAATCTTTAAATGAAAAGTATAGTCAGAGGGTTCTGGTATATTATAAAATATCCATAAAAAAGAGTTCTCCGAGATAGAATAAGAAGAAAACTTTTGAGTCAACTGAGACCAAGAAAATTCTTTAGTACGTCACCATTCCAGTGGTTGCCGGACTCCCTCTCAGGAAGCTCACCTCAAACATGGACAATTTGGGGATGTTGATGAGAGATGTCGATGAGACTAGAGTATTGTTCTTCCTGGGACTTTCAATCTTATCTGGCACATCTCCATCACAACTGGTATTGCTCAAGGAGCATCCAATTGCCTCCGGCTTCATATTGTTGCCGTTAGTATCAGAGCGTGGTGAACCCTGATACACGATTGAAGCAAATCTGGGGGATACACCTGTATTTCACAGATTAAACAAATTGACTTCTGTTAGCTCTTCACATGCAACTAGTTTCAATCCATAGACAGAGTATTTTTTTACGATTTTCCATTGTACTCTTTATACTTAATAAATTACAAACATCAGCCATTTAATGCTGATGTGTGCACATTTTACAAAAACGGAAATAAAATTGCAAGAAATCTTAAGATGATTCAGAACAAACTACTGACCTTCAGTTATTTCAGCTGGTGACGTGCTCCAGTACATAATATCACTGGACTTTGACGCCAATGATCCACCCTATTAGATCAAAGGAAAATGAGTTTTTTCTTATAGTTAAGTCCTTCTCACTTAACTTACTTGGAGATAAAGTTTGCAGTGAAATTCTTTTAATAATTGTTCTCAGTACACCAAGCACCAAAAGCTGTTCTAAGTTAAAACACTTTATATGCTACTAAACTGCAACAGCAAAAACTTTTCAGCCCAAAATGGCCAATGGCACTTGAGAGCCACAAAGGTTACGCATAAGTTCTGCGATGTGACATTAACATAATTTCTAAACAAACCATATTGGTGATAGAATTTTTGTTAGAATTTGATTTTGAACACTATTTCAACGGACGTCTAAAAATCTAAATAAAAAGTGTAGTAAAAAAGCAACAAGTACAAGTGATGGTATATCATAAATTAACAATAAAATGAGCTTTGTAGGATGGAATAAAAACTATCGAGTCAACTGAGACAAAACAGATCCCTTAGAGTATAGCCAGTGGTTGACGGACTCGTCCTCAGCAAGCTTACCTCGAGTGTGGACATTTGTGTCTCTGATAGATTTGTAGCAACATCCCGGGATGTTATTGAGACTTGAGTCTGCTTATTGCATTGACTTTCCATCTCATCTGGTACCTCACCGTCACAACTGGTGTTACTTAACATGCATCCAACTGAGTCCGACTGCATAATGGTCTCTAATGGATTTGTAGCAACATCCAGGGATGTTATTGAGACTTGAGTCTTCTTCATACGGGGGCTTTCCGCCTCAGCTGGTACCTCTCCATCACAACTGTTATTACTTAAGGAGCATCCAACTGACTCTAACTGCATATTTGTCTCTG